GGCGGGCAGAGAGGGGAGAGGCGCGGGTCAGGACAGGCCATCGGTCACACCTGCCCCTCTGCCTGAGCCCCGGGAAGGAGGTGGGGCAGGTTCCCCACTCCATGGAGGGGGAAACAGAGGCTCTGAGGGACAGAGCCTCTTGCCCCAAACCTCACCCTTCCGGCTCTCACAGTAGGGCTGCAGGATTCAAACTGGGGCCTCTCTGCCCCGGATCCTGTCCTCCCCTGTCCTCTACTGTGCCCCATCATCTCTCAGTCAAGGCCATCCAGGACAAAACGGACCCATCTCTGCCAAGAGGAAGGAAGGGCCCCCTGACTGGCCATTGAGAAAATGGAGCTCTGGTCCCAGCTCTGCCCCTAATTTGCTGTGTGGTCTTGGCCATATTGCTCCCCTCTCTGGGCCTTGATTCCTGGACCTGTTGGTACAGGAGGCCAGAGTGGCAGGGGGCCTAAGGTTGAAGAGCATGGGCTTTAGAGCCCCACGGCCCAGGACTCGGTACTGGCTCTCCTACTTACTGGGCGACTTGGACAGCTCCCCCATCCTCTCTGGACCTCAGTCTCCTCATCTGTAAACTGGGGCTTTTGTGAGGTTTCAACAAGATCTTATGTGTAGCCATCTCGGCACGGGGTCTGGCCATGGCAATAAATATTATTGCTGTTGCCCTGAGACTCCCTCTCGTCCCTTGGTTCCACTTAGAGACTTGGGAGAAGCTTTTAAGTAAGCAAGAAAGAGGAAGAGCTGGGAACGGAGGAGGTGTGAGTCGGGGGAGCAGATGGAGCGGCGTCCTCCGCTCCCCATCTGTGCTATGACGGCGGGGGCGGAACACAGCTGCTGGGCAGCAGGGGCCACTCTTGGCCCGGAGGGTTTGGCCTCCCCTCCAGCCTGGCCCCCACCTCACCTCTAGGGTCCCCACAGAGACAGAAATGGGGGAAGGAGTGGGGAAGAAATGGAGAAGGAAAAGTTAAGGGGCCACCTCTTCAACCCCAGGACCACCATGTCTTGAGAGACCCCAGAGGAGAGAAAATGTCCCCAGCCCAGCCCAGGGCAGTCTACCCTACCCCTGGTCACCCACCACATGTACACATCCCCACCATGACCTGCAGGTCTGGTCAGAGGCACACACCCACGCACCCACCCTCCAGCCCATGTTAATCACAGACCCACCTACCATGGATGTGCACACGGCCGGCTCAGCCCAGATCCCGGACCTTCATGGGTGCTCACCCAATCATAACATGGCGCACAGGTGCCTGCACTCGCAACCCCCACCACCACGCACACGCGCACACAGACCCACCCAGCACAGGACACACACACACACGCGCATATACCCGTTACAAATTCACTGAAGCCCAGGTCCACGCCAGAGCCTCGCCTGAGCGCGTGCACAGCCTCCAACCCCACCCCTACTGCAACCTGAAATCACACCCTAGACTCTACAGGAGAGACCCACCCACGACAGAACACACTCACACATCCCCACATCACCCAGGCGAAGCACCCACCAGACCATCACCTGACTTTGGCTCATCCAAGGTGTGGGGAGCATGGACTAGCATTCACACACCCACAAGCACACTACATCCATCCAAACACATACACAGACCCACTGGCCACCTATCACCCCCACGCCGGGCGCAGGGCCCCACACTTCTGCAGATCCTTTCCTTGGCTAGGGCTGGTGAGAGGCCAGTCTGGGGGTCCCACCCTGAAGGATGGGCCCTCGGGCCTCATCGCGGGGAGAGGGAGAAGGGGTACCAGAGGCCGCATCCTTTCCTCTTTCCCCTCCTCCCTCCGCTCCCTCCCCCCAACTCCCGGCTACTGCTGCTGCATTGCAGGCGTCGCCCGGGCACCTCGTGAGCCGCTGGGCTGGGCTGGGCGGGGGGCCTGACCCCCGGGCCTTGGGGGTGAGGGGCAGCGCTGCGGAATGAGGGCGCGCAGGGGCCAGGCGCTGACGTCACAGGAGGGCGAGGAGGGACGAAGGGGCGCCCGGGGCGGGAGTCGCCCCCTCCTCCCTTCCCAGCCACCCCCCCACCTCAACCCCCACGCGAGCCCCTCCGCTCGCCAGACGCCAGCTACCCTAATGACGTCATTGGCAACTGGGGTTTGGGGACTTCCCTCCTCACCCCCTGTCCCGGTGTTTGCCCCTTCCGTAGTCCCCCTCACCCCCGCTCCAGCCCTGGCTCCGGCCCCCAAGCACACAGCGCCGGTACCTCCTCCCGCAGCGGCTCGCCGTCCGGGATGAACGCGGGCACCTCCCCGCTGTCGCCTCCGCCGCCCTCGGGCATGGTGTCCTGGGTGCTTGCGCGGCCCGGGCCCGGGCCCGGGGCATGATAGGGGGGAGCGCAGAGGGCTGCGGCGCGGCCCCGAGGGCGTCCGCTCGGCTCGGCGGCCGCGCAGGGAGTGCGCGGAGCTCGAGCCCGAGCGCGGCGGCGGCGGCGGCGGCGGCGGCGGCGGCGGCGGCGGCGCGGCGGCTGCAGCATTGGCGGCCGCGGTGCCCGGCGCCCCGCCCTCCGCTGACCCCGCCCCCGCGGCACCCGCGGCGCCGCCGGCAGCGCCTGGTACCACGGGCACTGCCCGCCCCCCCACCCAAGAACCCCAAGCTGGCCGACCCAAGCTTGGGTTCTCCTCCCGCCGCGCTTGCGCTTGCGACCTTGGCCGAGTCCTTGCTCTTGGGGCCTGTTTCCCCTGCTGTAAAATGAGGGGGGATGGATCTCAAAGGTGGGTAATACCTCCGGCGTCCTGTCTCTGAGGAATAGGCCTAGGCTTAAGCCCACCCAGACTCCACTCCGGAAGCCTTGCTGGTAGGGAAAAAAGCAGTTACAACCCAGAAAGGTGTGATACGCCTCACTCACTGGACAGAGGTGCTGGGTTCTGCTTGAGAGCACACAGGACACCCAGGGTCCTAGGCTCCGTGACCTTGGGCCTGCACTCTCTACCCCAACCTCAGTTTTCTCACCTAAGAAATGGGAATAGAAAGGTGCAAACCGTTCATCATGAGGTACAGGGGAGTGGGATCTGTCCTTGGGAGGATGCCCTCCCAAGTAGTGGTGGATGCAGGGCTGCTCCCTGGCCCTTAGGGGCCTCAGACCTTCACACCTGCCCCTGGGTCTGGGCTACCCCCAAACTAAACAATTATTTGGTGGGATATAGGTGAGTTTTGGGTTGCTTTGTCACTCCCCCCCCCCAAAGGGCAACTCAAAAACCATTCAGTTCAACACTCCTACCCGTTTAAAAGAGAGGTGATTGAAATGATAGAGTAAAGGAGTGACCCAGGGCTTCATCCGTTCATTTTTTATTTATTGGGCACAGAGGTTTGTTGGGTATCTTCTATATCCAAGTATTGTGTTTGGCACTCTGAAGACAAGGGGAGGAATGGAGAATGACACAGGTCCAGTCCTAATGGAATTTATATCCAGGACAGACTAGTGTACCCAGAGGGAGCCTGGAACCCAGCCTCTGGCCTCAACCCCCCAGCCAGGTCAGTCCTCTGCTCCTTTTGTCTTTCTGAGAGGCACAAGTTAAACTGATTCTTAAAGAATAGGCTTTGGACAAATGGATATGAGGGGGAAAGGCATCCCAGGTGTAGGGGATTTCTGAGCAAAGACACTGCGATTAGATCACGTGAGCTGTGTTTAGAAAGCAGGAAAGTCACCTGGTGTAACTGGACACTGGGTTAGCTAGAGGCAGGTTGCAGAGGACCTGATTTTGCTCTCTAGAAAGTGGTGGCTGAAGGTGTGTGAGAGAGGAGGCCCCTGAAGGCTAGCTCTGAGGAGGGTGAGAGTGGCCACAAACTGGGCGGAGAGAAAGAAACACACACGGCCTCAGGAGGGAGGCTTGGTGTTGGGGGTGGGTAATCTCGCTTTAAGATGGACCGCAGGGCCAGCAATGACTCAGGAGTTTCAAGTGCAGCTTCAGGAGGTGGACCAGCGCACCTCCACACCCAAACTGGTTGGATCACGGGAGAATTGATGGGTCAGGCTTGGTGCAGGGTCCTGTCCCGACTATACCGCCCAATCTCTGGGACTTCAGATCTTCTGGAGTTTTCAGTATGTGTAATGCGTGTGTGTGTGTGCGTGCGTGTGTGTAGGGGGGTCTTTCTATCTGTCTTAAGAGGTCAGACCCTCCCAGCCGCAGGCCCCTAGACTCTGCCGGGTAGCGGCAGTGGCCGTAGGGCATTTCAGCACCGGATCACGGACAGCGCCCGCGCGGGAAGGAGGGGCGGGAGGCAGGAGGAGGAGTCAGCTTCCTGGGTTCGCTGGGCCGCCCTGTCACTGCCCCTCCCGGCCTCCTACTAACACCTCGCGGGCTGCCCGGGCTCCGTGCCAGGACTTGGGGGGTAGCGTGGAGGATGGGAGAGGAAAGCTGGCATTGAGAGGGAGGAGCAGGAGACCCAAAGGGCGGGACTTGGTAGAGCCCCACGGACCCATTCCCTCCTGGGGGACGTCCCGCAAGCGAAACTCCGTTCCCGGACTCACGCCTCCTCCAGGTCTCCACCTCATGTAGTCGTGGCACGGCGAGCGTCATGCGCCCCACTACGCAGGCGCGGAAATAATTCTCAACCCCCTCCTACCTTAACCCATCCATTGGCTGCTCTAGCCCCGAACTAGCAAACCCACCATCCAATCCGAGAGTGCCTTGAATTGCTCCGCCTCTCTCCCTCCCGGAAGTTGACTATTGCCGAATCCAATTCGGCGAGGTCGGGCCAGCAGCCAATTGGGAGAGGGGAGGGACGAGCTAGCGCCGCCGAGGAGCCAATGGCAGGCGACGGAGGATAACGCTGAGGACATGGCGGCTGCGGTCGGAGAGTTCGCGGACGTGTCGGTCTGCTCCGTAACGCGGCTCGGCGCCCAGGCAGCAGAGCAGCTGGCTTATTAGTATTCGTACCCACGAGGCGGCGCAGCGGGCCCTTGGGGAGCGCCAGCATCGCGGCCATGGCTTATCACTCGGGCTACGGAGCCCACGGTGCGTGGGGCGCGGGGCGGGCGGGACGCGGCCCGACCGGCCAGAGGAGGGTCGGCGGCGCGGCCCGCTCACCCTGAGGGAGAGGGGCAGTCGTGACCGCTCCCCAGGGCGGCGGGTGTCTTTCGGGTTTCCGCCCTGCGGGACTCCACATCACGTCGCGGACTTTGCCCTCTGGGTCCAATCCTGAGATCGGGCGGTGACAGCACCGCTGGGATTCCCATGCCCGACCCAGGCACGAACGGGGTCTGCCTTCGGAACTTTCTTTACCTGTCATGGCCCTGGTGGGGCCCCCACCACAGCCCAGGGCCTTTGGGTACCCAACTATCGCCTTTCCCACCCTTGTTCCTGCGGGGTGCCCTCGCAGTTATCTTCACCTAGGAACCTTCTCTCTCCCCCAAGGCTCAGTTCAGAGATCACTTCCCTCGAGAAGCCCCCCCCCCCAAACCTATAGGTGGGCAGCCGCTTCCAGGCGCTGCCTCAGCTCTTTCTTTGCCTACATTTAGTACCTGTGGAAAAGGAGCCTTCATCAAAGTTCTTTCTGGGTTACCTACCCGTATGCAGCCCGGATTTCACTAACCGATTGCTGGGTGGCCCCAGAACCCATACAGGGCTGCCCAGCCTGGGGAGAGGGGTGGGTGGTGGTTTGGGCTCATGCTTGATATTCCTGTCACCTACTCCAGTACCTACAAACCCACAGGCTCCAAGCACAGGGCCCGGGCAGCTCCAGACCCCCCTCCCCTCTTCGATGACACAAGCGGTGCTTACTCCAGCCAGCCAGGGGAATATCCAGCCCCAGGAGCCGACGTGGCCTTCAATGTCAACCACTTGCTTGGGGACCCAATGGCCAACGTGGCTATGGCCTATGGCAGCTCCATCGCATCCCATGGGAAGGACATGGTGCACAAGGAGGTGTGGCCCGCCCCCAGGGCAAGGGTGGCAAGATTTGTGGCTAGGGATGGGGCATCACGGGATCCCGCCTAATTCTCCCAGCAGCCCTCAGGGAAGGAGCACACCGAGGAGCACCCTGAGGTTTGGTGTGCGGCTTGCCCACAGCCTCCTCTCTCCTCTCCCAGCTGCACCGTTTTGTGTCTGTGAACAAACTCAAGTATTTTTTTGCTGTGGACACAGCCTATGTGGCCAAGAAGCTGGGGCTACTGGTCTTCCCCTACACACACCAGGTGAGCTGCCTACCAGGTGAGCTGGCGGGGCCCTGTGCCTCCCTCCGCCCGTCCCAGAGTTTGGCCCCCAGATCTCAACCCCCATCTTTCTTTTCTTTTTATCTTTTTCTCATGCCCTGGCTGCTGCCACCGCCAGAACTGGGAGGTGCAGTACAGTCGTGATGTGCCTCTGCCCCCGCGGCAAGATCTCAACGCCCCTGACCTCTATATCCCCAGTGAGTCTTTCTTTGACCTGGGCTGGGGGACAGTGGGGGGGACTTGTGCCTTGAGGCCCCAACAAGGAAAGAGAGACTCGTGCATTGATTCAGCATCTGCTCGATGCTTTTGTGTGTGGTGGTTGCTAGACACCCAGTAGACAGAGCAGCGGGACCAGTAAGGAGCTTCCCGGGCGTGCCCTCAGGGCCTTCGGAGTTTTCCCTTTTGCGATCTTCTTGCCTCTTAACTGGGATCATGTCCTTCCACAGCCTGGAGCTCAGGGCTTAGACCTGGTCCTGCGGCTTCCGGGAATGGGGCCTCAGGCTGGCTGCTTTTACTCTTACGTACGCCTGGAATGACAACAGCCTCTACCACAAAGGACTGTTGTGGAGATTCAGGGAGGTGATGTGCACTCAGCAGGGGGCACACTGAAAATAATAGTTACTGTCACAGCGATTACTGGTCCCCCAAGTCCTCCAACATTGCCTTCTCAGAGGAAGCGGTCACTCCCTTCTGGGTTCCCATAACTGCCCATCCACATGGCACAGGGTCAGGCTGCCCACCTTGGACAGTGGCTGGCAGGCTGTCCCTCTGACTCCTCTCTGTCCTGGGGCCTACACGAGGCGAAGCCCATGGTGGACACCCCGGAGGAGGGGTGAGTGGCCCCGCGCGGCCTGCAGGCGGGTTGCCAGGGCAGCCAGTCGTCGGCTCAGTTGCTCCGGGCGGGCCCCTGGTTCTTCTGTCCTCCAGTCCACTTCCTCCGAGAGCCACCTTGTAACGCAGGACTTGCCATCCCCATTTCACGTGTCGAAGCCAGGGCTCAGGGAGACAACTGTCTTTGAAGCCACATAGCTTATAGGTGGTAGAGCTTGTTTCCTGACCTCAGACCCTGTGCTTTCTGGTGGGCGTGTCAGTTCTGGTGCTTCGAGGGGGCAGAGAAGAGGTCCGAGGAGTTCCAGGCTGTGAAAGCCCAGCTCCCCTGGGCTCTGAGCTTTTGTGGAAACAGCAGAGGTAAACTGGGAGCCCTCTACATTGGTGGGACGGCCAAAGCCAGCGCCAGTGGCCGGACCCAACATTACTGGCTGAGGTGAGGTCTTCCCCATGGGCCAGACTCTGGGGAGAGCCTGGGTTGTCTCCAATTCTGTATTTTAGTCCTGTCGTGTTGTGGGAGATCAGTGTGGCTCCTGCCTGTTGGTCTAGGATTAGTAATAGCCTTGGCCCATGATACAGTGTGATCCAAGCAGGAAACTTGAGTTAGTGAGTTTCCTAACACAGGGACAGGGAAGGAGGTGGCTTGGTGGTCTTGAGAGAAGGGTCAGGTAGCATTTACACAGGGAGAGAGGGCTGAGCAGGGAAAGGGCATCCCAGGCAGGGTAGTAGGAGTGACTGTGGAGGCTGGGCGCATGCATATGTGGGGGCACGCAGGAAGGGATATATGGGGAGGAGGTAGGGAGTGTAAATGGCCCCAAATACCTAGCCAGGGGGCTCTGATTGAGGAAACCAGGCTGATGGCATCTTTCTGGCTCTTGGCAGCCATGGCCTTCATCACCTACGTGCTGTTGGCTGGGATGGCGCTGGGCATTCAGAAAAGGTTAGTACCCAGCGCCCTCCCCCTTTCCCACCAGCTCCCCTTCCTGCTCTCCTCACCTCCCTAGGGGCCCCTGTGGCAGGTCCCAAGCCCAGCCCATGTCCTCAGTCTCACAGCTGCCACAGGATGGCTGGTTTCCAAACACCCCTTCTCCCCGCACATGGTCACAGGTTCTCCCCGGAGGTGCTGGGTCTGTGTGCGAGCACGGCGCTGGTGTGGGTTGTGATGGAGGTGCTTGCCCTGCTCCTGGGCGTCTACCTGGCCACCGTACGCAGTGACCTGAGCACCTTCCACCTGCTAGCCTACAGCGGCTACAAATATGTGGGGTGAGTACCTATGGGCCAGGCCAGAAGCAGGCCTGGGAGAGGGGCCTGCCACCGTGGGTCCCCAGCTGGTGTAGCTGTCGCCTTGAATTGTGTCTGCCCTCTCTGGGCCCTAGCTCTTCTGTTAGAGGAACCAGCTGCTTTTAGCATTGTCCTTGGGACCCGTGTACTGTTGTTCAGTCAGGAATGTAGGCGAGTCACCCTGGGAACACAGGGGAGAAGGGCCTTGTGCTGGGGTAGTGAAGGGGGTCTCACGTCCACATTCTACACTCAGTCCTAGGCCTTCTAGGTTCATTTTGAGTCCAGGAGCCTGGGGAGATAGACTGGAGATAAAGGGCCCCAGTGGTGGTGGGTGGGGTCTAGGCTGGGTGGTGGGGCCCGTCTGAGGCCCAGACCCTTCTCTTTCTCCTCCCCACCCCCGCCCCCACCCCCGGCCCGCAGGATGATTCTCAGCGTGCTCACCGGGCTGCTCTTCGGCAGTGACGGCTACTACGTGGCCCTGGCCTGGACCTCGTCCGCGCTCATGTACTTCATCGTGAGTCTGGGGCTGCCCCTCGCACTTCACCCCAGGGTCGGAGCTGGGAACGAGCCTCCCCCGCTCGGCCCAGCTTCAGCGCCCTCCTTTCTCCCAGGTGCGCTCTTTGCGAACAGCAGCCCTGGGCCCCGACAACATGGGGGGCCCAGCTCCCCGGCAGCGCCTCCAGCTCTACCTGACCCTGGGAGCTGCGGCCTTCCAGCCCCTCATCATATACTGGCTGACCTTCCACCTGGTCCGGTGACCCCTGACCCCCACTGGCACTGATTTTTTCCATACATTGAAGATTTGATTTCCTTGATTGTATTTGACCCTTATTCCTGGGGACGGGGGTTGGGCGGGGGCTCTCCATTGCCCGGGGTTTACCAGGCTCAGGCCACCCTCGGGAGGGCTTCCTGGAGTTGGTGGCCTTGGTACCAATTTGAGAGGCAGGTGGAAGTGTTTCAGCAGGAATGGCTCTTTGGCTGTGGCCAGGAAAGGGAGGAGAGAAGGGAGTGGCTGCCGACGACACCGTGAAGGCCTCTGATCCATCGGAGGGGTTCCCTAGAGGGTCCCGTGGGCAGGTGGTTTGAGCCTGGTTGTACTGGGGATTCAGCTGAGGGTCGCTCCCTATAGAGTCCCTTTGCCCCATGTCCTCTTCAAGCCCTTCCGGAGCAGAACCGGGGCCCACGTGTTTGCAGTAGTTTATTCATATTTTCTCACAAATGGCCGGGGAGGGGGTGCCGGACTCCTCCAGGCAACATAGAAAATGGGTCCAAGAGACAGGACAGGCTGGGATTGGGGCAAGTGGGGATGGGGAAGGGGGAGGTCTGGAGAGAGAGCCTGGGGGAGGGGAGAGGGCAGACTAGGGGTGGGACTGCCCCCCTGCTGAGCCTGCTCATTCCCGGTGCGGGTACCCCCCCACCTGCAGGGGGAGCCTCAGGGTTGAGGGTGGAGGGGGGCGGCCCAGAACTTCCAGGGTCAAGCCCTGCCCTTTGGCAGGGTCCATGTTCCCCTCCAGAAGTGGACAAGGCCGGAGGTTCCGCCCCTTCCAAGACTGACTGCCATGCCTACAGGCTGGCAGAGGAGCCCCTGCCCCATTTAGAGCTCTGCCCAGCCCTGGTCCAAGGGGAGGGGGCTCTGAAGGCGGGAGGTCCCCGCAGCAGCAGTTTGGAGGGGTGGAGAGGAGGCTGGGGGCACCAGTGCCCCCTCCCTCCCCAGGGCTGAGGCCTCTGCGGCCGAGGGGTAGGGCTGGGGGTGCACAGGCGTCCGGTCCATTCTGGGCTTGCTCCCTGGCCGGCTTCCCCCTTAGAAACTCACCAACGTATAAACCATACTGCGGGAAGAGGAGGCAGTGAGCCGAATCCCGAGTAGGCCCGGGTACTGGCCGCCCACCCCGCCATACCCTGGGCTGCCCTCAGTCCTTCTGGGAAAAAGGCGGCAACTTGGGGCCCAACCATTTCTGGAATCGGAGGCACATCCCTTCCCTGGCTTCTGACTGTGGCGGGCAGGGCCTCACCTGTACAGGTAATAGAAGAAGGAGAGCAGGTAGAAGGCGAGTTTGCACCAGGACTCCTTCTGGCAGTAGTTGAGGATGTCCGCATTCATGATGGAGACCGCGTCATACATGACCTCAGAGCCGTCCGCCGGGCGGTGGAAGTACCTGGCGTGAGGGAAGGGCCTGAGAGCCCACTTCAGAGCTCCCCCCATCTCTCCCCTGCTCTTCCGTCTCCCCCACCCCTACCCCCCCCCTCCCCAAGGCAGCTTCTAGAGGCGGCCGAGCCTGGGGAGGCTGCGGCCCTCACCTCCAGAGGTGGTAGAAGAGGAGCGGGATGTTGAGGCCCAGGGTCACCCACTCTGCCGCGCACAGAAACATCAGACAGAAGAGGCCGTGGATGGAGTATTCCGGGACCACCAGCTGGGGAGGGAGGGCGAGAGGTCAGCTGCCTGGTGGGAGGACACCAGGCAGCTTCAAGGGCACAGAGGGGAGCCGGGGTTTTGGAGGTGCCCCCCACCATAACCTCTGGGGACTAAAGAGGCCTCAAGCCTCCCACTCCCTCCCGGTGGCGGACCAGATGAAGCAGGCCCCAGAGGGGCAAGGCCGCACTCCGGGTCGCAGAGAGAAGGGCCAACCTGGGCTAGGAGCCTCCTGCTACTGGCCCTGACACTGACCTTCCTCAGGAGGCAGCAGATGCGTTCGATGTTTTTTAAACGCTCGCGCTGTAGGGGGAGGAAAAGGTTGCCATGGGGGAGGCGGAGGAGCGGGCATTGGGGGTGCCCCCGCCGCCCTCCCTACATCCCCTGCCGACCCTCAAGTGGCCGCCAGGGGGCGCCAGAGCAGTCTCTGCGGCAGGGAAGCAGCCGCGCCGTCCCCATGGCAACCGTCACCATGGAGGGACCTTCACCCGCGTCTCCACGGCAACGGCCCAGAGCCTGGCAACGGCCGCCCCGCCAGGAGGAACCCGAGCCCTGAGCCCGCGCCAGGTGTTTGCTGGGGGCGGGGACAGAGAGGAAGGGCTACGGCCGGCGCCGGTCCCACCACGCAACCCCTTCTTCCCGTCCCCCATCCCCCTTCGCCTGGAACAGATGGAAAGACAGACGGACGGACACACCTCGGCACAGCACATGTATCACTTACTGCCCGCGCTGGGTTCCCCTGGTCGATGGGGTTCTTGAAGTCGGTCCGCAGCTCGTCAAAGGCTATGATCTGGGGGAGGAGTGTGTGCCTGTCAGGGTTGGGGCAGCAGCTGATGGCCCCCCACCCGTCCTTCCATGACACAGGAATTCATGCATGGGCACTGGACCAGATGGAGCTTGATGCAAAGGTGAAGAAACTGAGGTTGAGGGAGGGGCGGGGCCTGGCCCAAGGTCACCCAATAGTGGGGAATGGCATCCTGGTGCGCTAATGCCCAAGTCAAGCCATATTCACGATGCTTCCATCCAAAACATCCCAAGAGATGGTGTCTTTTTCTGCCCTTTGCTGGCCACCGGGGCCCCAGAGGCCTCAGGCACAGCCCTCGCCTGGGTAGGCTCCCTTGCTTGGGAGAGCTGTGAAGTATGTTCCAGGGTGATTGGGACTACTGGGGTGCCTGGCCCAGCACTGGGCGTGATGGGGGGCAGAGTTCAGGCTGGACTCTGAGTGGGTGATTGGTGAACAAGCAGGGGGAGGGCAGTCCGAGCAGCAGGAACAGCAGGTACAAAGACAGAAGGTTGAAGGAACAAGGAACATTGAGGAAGTCGCAGCTTCCATGGGGTCGAGTGACGGTGTGAGGTGAATGGGAAGAAAGAAGGAATGTGAGAGATGGGCTGGAGATGCTGTGAACCCGGACCAGATGTTTGGACTTTAACCCAAAATAAAGGGGAGCCACTGAGGGGTATAAGCAGCAGAGAAGGACGGTCAGGCTAACACTTAAGGATGGATGGAGCAGGAAGTACACATTGGCGAACAGTCCCAGCCAAGACCTGTATGGTGTTTGCTCTACGCCAGCGGGCTTTATGTCTACTACCTCATTTACCGCTTGCAACAACCTGACGGTGTAGGGCCTGGCATTACCATACCCGTCTTGCAGATGAGGAAACTGACACAGACAGGCTAAGTCACTTGTCCAAGGCCACACAGCTAGTCAGTGGTAAGCCAGGATTCTGACCCAGTTAGACTCCAGCGTTAAAATTCTTAATGGCTTTATCATAGGAAGGCCAGGCCAGTGAGGAAATGGGGGAAGGGTGGGGGTTGCTGCTCATCGACGATGATCGGCATGGGGAGAGCGGCAGTGAGAGTGGAGAGGTGTGGAGGGATTGCAGAGCTGTTTCGAAGCCGGACTCCAGCGGGTTGAATGGCAGGAGTGGAGGCACAGGGGCCCAAGTTGCCTTTGGGTGTTGGGGCACTTGGTAGATGGCAGTGTACTCATTGGGATGGGGAACTCTTGGGAGGTACAGGTGTTCGGAGGGATGATAAGACAGACCTGGGTGGGGGGCAGTGGGAGCTGACATGGAAGGAGGTCTGGAAGAAAAGTCTTCTGGGGTCCCCTCCCCTCAGCACCAGACAAGGCACAGGGCCCATCACCCCCAAGTACCCTGGACCCCAGATGGCTTGGAGGGAGAGAACGTGGGCTTTCTGGAGGGAGCCGGGGCCATCTGGAGCAGCACCCCCCTCCCCATGGACTCTGGGCAGCCACCTGCCTGCCAGGCACAGAAACAGGGTCCAGCAGGGAGCGGAAGGGTGCCGTCTGTCCGCCCCAGAGCTGGCACCACCAGCAGGCAGCGGGTGTCACGCCTCCCACCCCCCAGGCTGCCTGGCTCTGACTCAGCCCCCTGGAACAAACAATCCCCCACGATGACAGCTGACACGCGTCACTCACCAACAGGGTTGCCTAGTGACTAGTGGGGACTGGGCTCAGGGTCTGGGGTGGGATCTGGGGTCCTGCCCTGGAAGGTTCTGGTTCTTACCAGTTCGGATTGAGGACCACACCTCCTATGCCTATGCCCATCCCACCCCCCTCAGTAGGCCGTGCTCTGGGCACTCTGATGTATATACAACAAACCCACTTTATCCACAAGGAAACAGACTCAGCATGAGTGACTTGCTAAGATCACTGAACTAAATAGCTTAGCTGAGTGAACCCCGGGCTTGACGCATAATAGGTGCTCAATAAATATTTGTTGGGCCCTTTCCCCCAGCCTAGGAGCCTTACAAGGGCAAAGTCCGAGTCCTACTCATCCTTGACTCTCCTTCAGCTGCCCAGACCCCGGTTCTCAGGAAGCATCAACACTGGTGTGTTGGATGGAGGACTGCTCTGAGTAGCCCCTAAGAACAGGGACCCCCAGAGGGGCTGTGGGAGGTCTTTGGGTGGGGAGAGGCCTGAAAAGGGGCCTCTTGATTTCCAGGAACTTTCTCCCAGGAACTGGTTAGGTCTGTGTTCCCAGCCTGTGACCCTCAATTTCTTCTGATCTTTAGGACCCCAGCTCTCCTGCCCCCAGGATTGTCCACTACTCTGGGATGAGATAGGAAGCTCAGAGAGATCAAGATGGATTGGGGGGGGGGGTTATGGAGGCAGAGAAAGAGAAAAAGACAAAGGGGGAGAAAAGAAAAAGCAATTAAGAGACCCACAGAGAGAGAGGGAGGGAGGGAGAGGCAAAACCAGGGAGAGGGCTGGAGATGGGAGGGGGGAATGTGTTGGAAGGTACCTATAGGGGCTCACTCCTTATGGAGGAGGGGTGCAGTGAGAGCCCATGGAACCCTGAGGTCGAGGAGGGGGCTGAGGGATGGTGAAGGGAGAGATTGGTCAAGAGCCAGACAGGCTTATGGGGGCAGGCAGCAGGTCCCAGGA